GGGGCGCTTTCCCGTGAGCGAGCCCCCGGGCGACGGAGACCTTTCTAGGTGACACCCGGCCCCTTGAATCGTGCCCAGAAGCTGACTGGCAACCAGTGCAGCTCACGCAGGGCATAGCAAGGCTTGCCCCTCGCTGTTCAAATTCATTTGTCTGTCTGTCTGTCACGTTTATATAGCCGCCCATCTCACGCAAAGTGGCTCTGGATCAGCTGTACCTTCTGAGTGCTCTTCAAGGGCAGCCCCACACAGAGTGCATTGCAGCAGCCCAACCGTGAGGTGGCCATGGCAGCCTCCTAATCCAGACAGAAATAACTGTAAGTATTTGTAGTCAATTAAAATCTGAAAATTGTACCAATCCCAACCCACCTTCCCTAAAAGGTCAGATCTTTTAGTGTATTTCTACGTACAGCAACCACCGGCAGAAGGAAGAAGCCCAGAGAAGCGTCTTGCAGTTAGTCACGGGTGGGCTGTGGTGGTGCCTGCGCTCTGCCCACCCGCAAAATTTCCTTCAGTTACATCCTTTAAGAGCTTGTCGAAGGCCTGCCCCTTCACCCGAGCTTCTTCTAGATGGGCAGTTCTGTTTGGGTTTCATTTTTCTCCTCCTCCTCCTCCTCCTCTGCCTCGACTTCTATTGTTTTTGTTTTCTCATTGGACTTTAATGCTTTTACTGCAAATTCCTTTGAGATTTATTGGTATGGAAAGTGGTACAGATAGAGAAAATAAATAAAGGTGTGTCATTTACTGACAGGGCAGCAGGAAGAGATAGGCTGCCAGCTGAAAAAAGATCTGAAGTACGGATTTGACTCATGATACATTTTCTTCAGAATTACGTTTTCCTCATTCTTTAGGTACAGAAGCACAGCTCTAAAGACTATCATCCCAACATAACCCCAATTTTCTAAAAACTATCATTCTGACATACTCCCAGTTTTTATTTAAATCAAGGAAAAGTCTTCCCAGTAAATTTGCCACACATAATAACTAAACTAGCCTTTTTATGTTTTTTAAATCCTTCTAATTAATTCCTCTCGGTGGAAGTGGCCTGCCACTAAATGCCCTAAGTGTGCCAGATCCCTGTTTATCAGCCCTTTTCGGATTGGTACCTGATGCTGGTGGCTGATTTCCTGAGTCAGAGCTGTACAGTTGCAGGCAAGCTGCCTCCAGCGAAAGGTTGTTGAGCCAACAAAACGTCTCTCCTCTTTAGAGACGGAAGCAGGAAATGCCACTTCCACAATGCCATTCCATGATCAGTACCACGGCATTAGAAAGCCATGGATGAAGCAAGATGCAACACCAGGGGCCTGGATATGGGACACTGCGATGACCCATATTCTGATCATCTGCACCATAACAAAGCAACTCTTTGGGTCTTCATACTTAAAGTTTAAGGTTTTTTTAAAGTAACTTTTTCTTCTGTGAGTTTTAGAAAAGAGCACTAAATCAGGCATTTGTGAACAGATGAATGACCCAATGTCTTTGCCCGAAGCCATGCCACTTAAGGATTTTAAAGGGCAGCAAATGCCAGATTCACTGGAGCAAGTGCTGAGACATTAGGAGGAATGTCATCTTAAATTGAAACAAAGGAACGAGAATGAAAAAGTGCGGGACTCCTACTGCTAGAAGACTGCCATAGGGACACTCACCCTGCCTGCTTTAATCAGGGAAACATATCAATGTGAAATGCTCTGGGAATCCAGAGCTTATTCTACAGAGTAACCAAGGGGAATTTTGTTTGGAAGTGCTCCTTTGCCTTCTGGAAAGGTGACAGGGCCACTGCAATGATTTTTGCAACCAGACAGGCACTTTCCAGAGTTCGTAGAAGAGATAAACTATGAGGAGTGGAGAAAACCTGCCAGGCCTCCCATCTTATTGACTGATTAATTATATGCCCTGTTTTTCTATATATACGATAATCAAAGCAGCTTGCAATAGTGAAAAAGATACGAAATGAAAAGATTGCAATTAAAATCCAAACAAAAATATAACGTTAAAACAAATAATAGCGATGAAAAAGATGGAAGAGAGGTATTTTTGCCAAATTCCTGATGGCTAGGAGAAGAGGGCCCAGTGTATTTTCCCCAGGGAGTGGGGCTGCACTGCCTGGGAGTCATACCCCAAAAAGTTCTTTCCTGCCTACCACAATGCTTTTGGGAGCAGCGGCACCCTCTGAAGGCTTTTTCTGCTGATCTGAGCAGCCAGGCTGGTTTAAAGTGAGAGAGGTAGCCCTGCAGATGGTCAGGCCCTAAACCATGCTGGCTGGGGAATTCTGGGAGTTGAAGTCCACACATCTTAAATGTGCCAAGGTTGAGAAACACTGCCCTAAACCATTCAGAGCTTTATAGATTAACACCAATACCTTAGATTATGCCCAATAAACAATCAAAGGTAGTCTCATGTACAGCATACTGCAGTAGTCAAGGCTGCCCCTAAGTCCAACCAGCTGCAGATGGTGCACTAGCTGTAACTGTGAATGTGCTCCTGACCACAACTGCAATGTACAACAGCTGGGGAACAAGAAACTCTCCAAAAATGCAAACCTGCTCCATATTGGGGAGTACATCCAGAGCAAGCTTCATAACAATCCCAGAATTTAGTTTTTTCTCACCAACAGCACATCTAGATGCTTGGAGTTTCAGCTTGTTCTCTCTTATCTAATTCGTTACTGAGGTCAGGCCATTGTTCCCTTGGAGTTAAAAGATATGGAGGCAGTAGAGCTGGATAACATCAGCATATTTCTGATACCCAACTGCAAAGCTCCAGATCACCTCTCCCCCTAGTTTCATCTAGATGTTAAAAAGCACAGGAAACACAACAGAACCCCAAGAACTTCATAGCAGGTCACTGACCTGCATGTTGAACAGTAGTCCACCAGCACTATCTTCTGGGCAAGATCCAACAGGAAAGACCAGAACCATTGCAATTTAGTGCCCCTGAGGCCCAGTCTGGGCAGACAGTACCAGAAGATACCACAGTTAATGGTATTAAAAGACACTGAGAGCTCCAGGAGGACTATCAGGGCTGTACTGCTTCTGCCTAGTTTTTTGCATGGGTCATCCACCAAGGTGACCTAAGCAGTCTCAGTACTATATCCTGGATGAAATTCTGATTGACATGGATCCATAAAATCATAGCGAAAAGAAAGGAGACATAGAACACCACAGATTCATACCTGTGACTTGGGGAAAAAAAGAAAGATGTAGCCTGAGTGACTATCAAGCAAGGAAACAGGATGCGGAGACAAACTACCGCATTGACCATATTCAAGCAACAAACTACCACATTGACCATATTCAAGCAACTGCATGGAAACAAAACCAACTGCTCTCTTATGCACTTGAGCTGCAACAGCCTAAAAATGCCATCAGTCCTGTGGATCTCAGAAACTTATTTAGGATTTCAGTCTTTCAGCCCCAAAAGAGAATCTCCAGATCAGCAAAACTGGCTGTCTTTATAATCGGAGGACTTTCCATCTTAGTTCTCTCTGAATAGTTGAAGAACCTTGTACCACCCCAAGCAATAACCAGAAGAATCCTTTCACTAGAGTGTGAAGAATTCTTCTGGACCAACCCAATGCTTATGGCAGCTGAAGGAAGCCCATAGGGTTGCCCTTTACCGTTCTCACAGCCATTTCTGAACCTCTTGCTTCCTTTATCCTAGTATGCACTAACAGCTTCATTCAATATTAACTGAACAGAAAGGAAGACTTTCCCTTTTTCCCCTAGGTTCTTCTCTTCCCAATAAAAAAGGGATAATGAAAAAAGGATAGAATGTGGGAACAGTAACATTTTCTTTCATGGCCAGTTTTTTTTTGGAGGTGGGGGAAGCCTAATTAAGCATCTGGGATGGCAAGGAATCTTGGCACTGAGGCCTTTTAATTCCCAGGTCTGCCAAAAGTAGCTCAGTAGCTCCATTTCAAGTACGCAGCAGCCTCACTAATTTTCTTTTTCTTCTCCTCCTCCTTTGGGGCTACATAAATACCTTTTGATCCTGGTTAGTTCTCAAGTGTCTTTCCGGGCTTACCTGACCAACCTGTCGAGTGGCTATTCTCCTGTGTTTATCCAACTGGTGGCCTGCTTCCTGACCCTCCTGGTGGGCTGAGGCCCTCTGGTCTTTGACCCCGTCTCTGGATCACGCCCCAGTTCATCCCAACAACCTTCCAGCTCCAAGGGGTGCAACTCTTATCAGGATCCGTCCACGTTCCAGTATGTGTACTGGTGAACAGGCCCCAATTAAAAGTTATTTGTACAAAACTAATATTGGCAAGGCTATCCACACATTAGTGTTGGGCAGTTTTAACTCAGGTTTCCTCTGTCTGGCAGTCTTCTCACGTGTTATGCTTTAACCCTCTGAGCCAAGCTAGGTTTGCAGTCAAGGGATTATGGCAGCCCAAGACATCTGAAGAGCACCCAACTGAGAGAGCCGGACTTAAATTTAGGCAATGCTGTCAACATATGGCAGAGAACAAGATGGACCAGTTTTTATGGCCCTTGCAGGCTAAGGTGTTCACAGAGCATCTACTAAGGAAAGCATGAAACTGCAACAAACAGAAATCAGGCAACATGAGAAAATAGTTTCTCTAAACATATACCTTTTGGAGCATCTAAAAGTAGGATACCCCAGAAGGCAAATTAACATTTGCATAGAGCAAGCGTGGCTTAGAACCAAGTGGGAACACTATTTGAGCAGCAAACTAATGGGATCTGCTGTATAATTAAAGCAATTATTTTGGAGTGATGAACAGCAAAAACTTCTGGCAAATTGTTAGTATCATAGTGGAAAGGTAACCATCAGATGTCTATGAAACATATAAATCAAGTAGGAAAAAAATACCAACTTGGAATTTTTTTTAAGCAACATTCAGAAGGTCACTGATGCTAATGCTCTTCAGGAAGCAGATAAAGCTGTCAAAAATAACACACACAAAAAAAGCCAGCTAGAACTCTTTATGATAATGTACATCTAATTACAGGATTGTTAACCAATACTCCAGGCTACCTGGAAGGGGAAAAGAAGCTGAAGAAAGGAAAGTTATAGAAATACTTTTGTTTGCCATTTTGAATTTACTTAGAAAGTCACATTCTGCTGAATCCTGCAAAACATGCTGAGCAAATTAAAGGAACTGTGCCATTAAAACATACACAATTCCAGACACAGAATTTGCCATGACATTCTGTTTTCTTTTTTAATACCATATTAAAGCCTATAAGTGAAATAAGCCAAACAATTACAGTGTTATGGTATCACTCTATCCCACAGGAGAGAAAGAACTGGTCCAAATTCATTAGGCTCGTTAAATTCAAGGATTCATCCTTCTTATCTTCACGTGTCTGAATGGAACCACTTGTTAACGAACATGTAGGGAGAGGAGGTTGACACAACTGGAAGAAGCACCGCAAAGCCCAAGCATCAAAGCCCAGCATTTCTCTGGTCTCTCTTCCCACCTCCATCCCCATGTCAAGATGGCCAAAATATAGTCTGGGCTTCTTTAATTTCAAGTTACATTATTTTCTTGCTGTAAAAACAAGCAAAACCCCCGGACTGACATCTTACACCCAACTGCAAAGAGCCACAGAACAATTTCTTTCTGTTTTTATTTTTCATTCTCTCATT